AACAACAGAGAGAACGATACCGCTGTAATCCTTCTCTAATAACGATACAAAAAAAATACGATTCATAGTCCTTCTCTAATAACGATACAAAAAAAATACGATTCATAGTCATACATTTTTCAGTCTGGTACGATATGGAACCCACATAAAAATTTCTGTAGAAAAATAAGCTAATTCTCTTTCATCATGTCAGCAAGAATGGCACGCAGTTTTGAATGATTTTCGTCTTTCTAATCAAATGGTCATAAAACCAAGTTCCATCCAATATTTCATCTGCGTTCAATTTTAGTCCATTAAATGTAGAGAAATATTTATCACAATTGATCAGAAATCAATAACGCGAACAAACAAACGCACAGACATTCTTCTTTTTATATATATAGACTTTGTAAAACTTACAAATTTTGGGTTAACAAACTCTACAATTTGAAAGCGAGCACTGGCAACATGTTTCGAAATAAAGCATTTTGATCTTCAACGCGCGAGACTGTTGCCACTGGAAAAAATGAGTGCGAAAATGAGCGCTTTCAGAGTTTTTAATTAATATTTCAACTGATTAAAGGCGTGCGAAGATGGGAATAGTCAAAATGGCTTCCCACGAATTTTTGGAATCGGGAATAATATATTTAATGTTTGACAATACTATTTTTATTTCATCGTAAAACTTAGAAATTTTTTATTAACAAACTCTAGGATTTGAAAGCGAGCAGTGGCAACAACTTTCGAAACAAAGCAGATTTTCATCTCTATCTTGCGAGACTGTTGCCACTCGGAAAAATGTGGGCGAAGACGATCGTTTTTCCGAGTTTTTAATTAATATCTCTGATTTTAGCTCCTTTTTTTTCGGGGGGGGGGGAAAGAGGACATCGACCTTTTCCATGACCCAGAGAAGAACTGTAGAAAGTTTGGTGACGATAGCTATAGTAGTGACTGAGTTATTAGCGAATTTTTTAATTTTTACAGCTATGGTATTTTATTTCGTCAATGTGATGCAAATAAAACAACACAGCTTGTGCATATCATATGAGACAAATTTAGAAACGTTTAAATCGGAACGAAATTATCATTAATAAGTTCATGTAATGGTTTTAATGCAGTTCGTATTCTTTCGAGCTTCAAAAGATAGCTTTAGCTGCATTTAAATACTGGTGTAAAATTAAGCCTTTTTTAATAGCAAACCGAATTCTTCTGTCTTGAAAACTAAACAGTGGGCCTGCTATAAATTAAATGTAAGGTTGAATATTTCTGTATTAAAATTTTAATGGCCTAACAGATTTGTTATAGCATAAATTTGGATTCGAGGTAATTATAAAAATGGCTTATTATATACGGCGGGAGGTTGTAAAACGGAAAGTTGCAATCATCTTTCTAACTCGAGCACCCAGAAAGACGGGCAGAATATACCGTTTGAAAATATAAACAGATATGAAGTTTTAAGTAAATGATTTTATGGTACATCGGGTAAATCGTACTTGACTATAAACCTACCAGTTTCACATAGTTTAACAGATAGATATTTTTAGCAGTAAAACATTCTAAACTTTTTTTTTAGCTCTTCTTTTTTTTTCAATGCCTCCATCTAGTAAATGCAATTTAAAATATTCTTTAATATGCTAAAAGAACTTCCTACTCAAACGCATTAAATTAAAATCATTTTCATAAAACTACTCTTTTAATCTTGTCTAATGGATCATAAAAATTCAGCTAGAGTTATATAAAAGAGCGTAAAAAGACGTTTTTTCTACTGCAACAGGAGCACATTAGCATCTCCTTTCATATTCGTTCTTTGAATTTAAAATAGAGCTCTTTAAGTTAAATTTTTTTTACGTTTATTAAGGTTTTATAGGCTAAATATTCTTGTTGTAAAAGACACTTTCTAAAGTTGCTATTATAATAGACGATTGGAAAAATCAAAGTACAGCAGTGATCTTTATGATGGTTGATTACTGAAGAAGTCTGTACATCTCTCATTTGCTATTAAGTTATAATTTCCTTTCTCGTTTATTCAAACTGCTAAGGTTTCACAAATTACTTGGGGTTTAACAGTTTTCTTATTGAAAAGACACTTTCTAAAGTTACTGTCTTAACGGATGACTGGAAAGTTCAAATGCTGTGCGAATCAACATAATCCTCAACAGAGTTGATTACTGTAATGAGCTAATGTGCTCTCAACAGCTCTACAGATATCCCCATTATAAAGGATTTCCAAATAATTGTATTTTGTACAGTATTCAGATAGTTGAGATCACTGACAGGCATTCATAACATACTATGATTTGAGTTTTAAACTTAGGTTTTGGGGAATAAAAAGAAACTTCTAAACACGTCACTAAAATTAAAAAAAAAATTCTTTTTATTATTTATTATCTTTATTTATATCTCTGCTATATTTTCTTTATTCTTTAATATATATTATTTATCCATAATATGATACATAGCTAAGCATTAGCATAAAAATGTGATAAATTGATAGATAGATACTGATACGCAATTTCGAGAGAAAAATTCCATCGAAGTTCATGGCATTTAATTTGTTGTTCATTGTCTTCTGCTAACCTTGCCAAAATTCGTCAGAGGAGGTATTTTTTCGGCAATTTCCCGCCACAAATCCTTATAAAACCTATTTCCAGAATGGTTCCTCCCTGTTACAATCGTAATTATATGAAATAAACTCCAGACAATGGCTGCTGTCGGTTACTTGAAAGGTTGTTGAATAAGTTGCGATGGGCTAGCTCATCATTGGTTCAGAAGTCATTCATTGACTCTGAAGCACAGACTTTTCTTTTTGACAATGAACTTGCACGCTGGATGAGACCCAAATCTTAACAAAAACCGCCCTGTGACGTTATTTGCGTGTGAATCACGAAAGACGATGGGTTTGGGAGCTATTCTGAAAATAAAGTTCGTAATTCAGGGGCAGGGGAAATATCTGTGGTTAGAAGGATACATACGGGTAAAGAAATAAATATTAAAATGCAGCTCAACACAGCTTCTGTTCTCTCTACTTTTGTTTTCATCGCTAAAGTCAAACATCACGAGTTTTAGTAAAATAAAAAAAAATTGGCAGATTTTTAGACCATAGCTAAAGATGTATTAGCGTAAATGATATGACAAAAGTGAATTTGACACTCTTTAAATTGCAGTTTAAGAGCGAAGGGGGGGGGAATTTTCCTTTTTTAACCGAGCAAGTGTTAAAATTAAAATATTCTGCAGTAGTTTGTCATTACTTAAATTTAATTTTAATTAAGATTTTAAATCGTATTTGTTCTTTCTGCAACAAATCCAAATTAAAAACTTTTATTGATTTCTATTAAAAAATTAAAATATAAAATGCGAGATATAAACAGTTACAAATAGAAAAAAATCTGATGTGTGCACCACATGACTTCCTCGTACGGAATATTAAATTATACATATTTTTTCTTGCATTTCATTTAAACTTATTGGATTGAATTAAATCTACTTCGTCGATAGCGCATAAACCACAACAGAATTAATGCACTCTTTAAAATCCACTGTATTTGTTTACCATAGCGACACTCTGGCGCTAGGTCACTTAACAGTATTATATTTCTTTCATAGTATTATAACTCAGAATGCACAAAATTTGTATCATTTGAAGAATTATCTAATCGTTGCCACATGTTCTATTCAAATACTATAATAAAGCTAGTACGATGTATAAAAGAAATTAAACAAACAAAACAAAAAAGAAGCAGTTTTTCACAGACGATTAATATTTCTCATTCAATTAATTCAGTTCTCACTTCGCGACAAGGCAAAAATACATAAAAACTCCAAATATCTGTAATAAAAATTACGAAGTAAATTTTAAACACTTATTTCCTCGAAAAAGTTCCAGAATGGATTAAGCATGATTTAATTCCCAATAATAAAAGGCAACGTTATCTTTGTTATTGCGAAGCTTACGTTCTCTAGATTGGCAACAAATCTACTTTTCTGCTGTTTCAAATGTAAACAAGCAATGGCTGCCATGGAAAAATTATTAGGCTTAGCGGCACTTGAACAACTTTTAAATTGTTCATAATTCTAAAAATATTGCATGCAGATTCAGTAAAGGCATAAAAACCTTAACCAGAAGATAAGAACAACATAATTCAATAATTTTTAAAATATGATGCCCGTAACTTTTCGCGATTACAATACTTCGTGTTTACTTCGTACAAGGAAGTAATAATGGTATTAGAACGCTAGCACATATTACAATATTCGAGTGAGCGATGTTCATCTAACGACTGATGTTCTAATGGAATCTAACACGATGTTCATCTAAAGGTTCATCCAGGCTTTTGAACAGTTTGGCTGTACCAAGTGATTTCAATGGTTTTAATTAAGCCTTAACAAAAAGAAAAATTTCTCTGGAACCAATACTTCCCGAAGGCACTATTTCCTATTAAAGATTTTATTTATTATTATTCCGCCTGCTTCCCCCCCTCAATGGGCATTACAGGATAGTCATGTTATTCTGATCGTTGCTACAGCAAGCTATTTTGGTTGTATATCTTTTCAACCCTATTATACATAAATAGATTTAAAAATAGTTATTACTTTTGTTGGGTGCTCCAACTTACAATTTTTTGGGACTGTTAGTATAAAATTAGCAAAAAGGGTTAGTTAGTTTAGAGATATTTACATATATACATGTGCTGAGGCTTGCTGCCTTTACATTTCGTCAGGTGCTTAGAGCTGGTTATCTGCTATGATTATGTTTCTCTTAGAATAGACGTACTCTATGATAGTTCTGACGCCCCGCTGTCCGTAGTAATCCTGAAGCAGATCTTTGAGGCTACGTGATTTCTGAAGCTGGGGAAGGAATGCTCTGATGGGAGAAGTGAGTGGACAGTCGTGGATGTAATATTGAAACGTCTGTTGAAGAAGCTGAAGCACCGCAGGCGCATTTTACGTTTAATGGCAGAACCTGCTGAGGTACGCGGGAAATCTTCCGTGAGTGAAAGCTTGTTGTAGATAGAAATCTGTTTTCAGCCTTTTGGTGGAAACCACGGAAAAGATGGAGTAGGTGTGTCGACCGGTGTTTCTAAATCGTCCCAGCGAGCTTGCCAGATGGACATGAAGGCGCAGAAGATCTTGTGTTTGGCAGCGACTATGGAAAGTGGTATCTCTGAGCCGATGAAGGGGTGACTTGTGGCTTCTTTAGCTAAAGCGTCGGCCCTTTCGTTGCCTTGGGTACCTTGATGACTACGTACGCAGTATAGAGATACTTGCCTGGAAGAAGACAGGATAATAAGCACTTCTTTTAATGAAGAGATGTGGAAGGCCTGTGAGCCGTTCTTGTTCAGTGCCTGTAGGACGCTCATGCTGTCCGTGTAGAAGCTGATGGATGGAAAAATGAAGTTGCCTGCCCAGAGAGCTGCCTTCTTTAAAGCGAAGGAATCAGCCTGGAAAACCGAGACGTGGTCACTAAGTCTGAACCGTGCTAAGTGAATTTCTGTATTGTTGTAGAAAGCGACATAGGCTGTACCTACTTGCTCTGAGACTTTAGAGCCATCAGAAAAGATTTCTAAGTCCTGTCCTTTTGGTAGATGTTTAAGCCATTTTATATCTTTCGTGAGAAAAGGGTGGACGGGAGTATAGTGGGAATGTGGTTCTAAGGAGCGCTGGTCTATGAATGAAGAGTCATCGAGCTGGAAGATGACCTTAAAATGAACTAACCTATAAGTACCACACTCAATTTCTGCTTTGAGATCTAAGGGCAGAACCCCTGCAAGGATTTGAAGAGCTGCTGTGGATGTGTAGTGAAACACTTAGTGATCTTGAGAAGGGTGATGCGTTGAATTTGCAGTAGCTTCTGACGAACCCTAACCGTGCCAGTCATCCAGATAAGGGAGCCGTAAAGGATCATCCTTTCAATGCCCCGAAGATATAGTAGTTCTTTCAAAAATTTCCCTTTTAGATTCCATTTATCTGTGATTATGCGATTTAAGCTATTAATAAGATTGCAGGTTTTATCTCGTATCATCGTTAAGTGCGGTACCCAGGTGAGTTTTCTATCAAGTAAGAATCCTAGGTATTTTAAAGTAACTTCATGTTTTAGTGCACCGCCCTGCCATTTAATACGGGGTGGGCTATTTACAAGTTTATTACTCTTTAGAAAGGTGATCACTTTTGTCTTATCGATGCTGAATTTAAGCTTGAGTTTGAGGCTCCAGTCAGTGATAAGATCTAATGTCTTTTTCGCTTTGTTTTCTATTTCAGTGCTATTACCTCCTTGAATGATTAGGATAAAATCGTCGGCGTAGGCCTGGATTTGTGCATTTCCTTCGAAATTTAGATCTAATGCAGTAATCGCAATGAGATTCCACATATTGGGCCAATATTGGACCCTTGGGGAGCGCCTCTGTAGTCATCGTGAGTGATACTGACCCCTTCTCGCTGGTAAGTGACTTTACGATTGTAAAGATAACTGCCTATGATCCGAAACAGATTCTTAGGACATTGAAGATGTTTGAGTTGATCCCCGATGGCTTGCCACCAGAGTTGGTTGAAGGCCGAGGGCCACGTCTAAGAAGATAACACATGTGTGGAGACCTCATCGCTACTTGTTATGGTGTATTTGCTCTTGTAGATTGTGAAGAACGTCGATAGTGCTCTTTCCCTTCGTGAAACCGTATTGCGCTTTGTTCATGAGGTGGTTTTTCTCCAGGTGGAAAGTGAGACGTCTGGTTATTAGTTTGCCTAGGACTTTTCCCAGGCGGAGAGAAGACAGATAGGTCTATATGCGTTCGGATACTTACTGTCTTTGCCCTCTTTTTTGAAAAGAACAAGCTCAGCATTCTTCCAGGCATCTGGATAGTAGCCGTTTTGAAGGCATGCATTAAAGATATATGCTAGTTGGTCTTCGTTTGCGATTCTCAACTCTTCAACGAAGTCTATATTGAGTTTGTCCAAGCCTTTCGGTAGTTTCTATGATCTTTCGAATTTTTGTGGTAGTGAAGGGGGGGGATCATTTGCGGTGTTTGGAGGGCTGCTTGCTGATCTCCTTATCTCCATGTGATGTGGGGTGTCTTCGTCTTGAGTATCGTTGGGAAAGTGATATTTGTCAATTTCTCTAATATTGTCTTCAACTGAAGTTGTGGTTGTCCCAATCTGGTTTGAGTATTGAGCTTAGTTGTAGGGGTCCTAGGCATTTGCCCTTAATAATATCATAGCAGGACCCGAACGGGGAAGAGATTTTCCCAGAATGTGTCCCAGGAGGCTCTTTTGGCCTCTAAGATCTTTCTCTATAAATAGCTTGTTCCTTTTTGTGCACTCAAGAGCATTTGGTCATTTGTTTGTGAATAAGTAACATAAAAGATATTAAACTATTGCTTTCTTGCAGCAACCACAAGCGCACTCACGCATGCGCAATTTGAGCCGATAAAATTACCAAATAAGTGGATGTGCGTGGCCTAAGAGGCACAGCCTTTTTATGATTTTGTTTCCCTCTTTACGTGTTAATAAGAGGTGAAATTATTTCGTAATAATTCCGTAAATTTTTGCTGCAACTAAACTCATTCCACAAATCAATCAACGAGCAAATTTGCTGGTTAATACAGTAGCAGTATCATGGAACTAAATCAACCACCAAATGTTCGTTCTTGAGCTTTTTGAAACTTTTCATATCTGGCTGAGACGGTTTTAAATATTTTAATGTAATTCTAATAATAAAAGCTTTATGGCTTCGTCCGACACCTACTTAAAATACCTATTTTAGGTACTTCAAACGTTTTCATAGTTTGAATAATTTCCTGTTGCTAAAGAAAATTTCGATGAATTTTGAGTGGTAAAAATAATGAATTTTGAATATAAATGTTAATTGTATGTAGATAAATTAACGACTTTTGCCTCTTTTATTTTCTTAGATAATATTATCCGTTTACTGCGCGCAAAAATGTTTCATGAATACTCGTTGATTCGGAAGTAATGATACTTATAGTATATGTGTATTTTAGATACTGAAAATGAATAATTTTATCTAAGTTTTAACATTTTTATTGTGTTATTAATAAAATGATATTACAGAAAGTTTGCCAACTGTATAGTTACAACAATTCGGATAAAGTTCATAGTTCAACTTTTTTTCTGCTTATAATTTTACATTTTGAGGGATGCGGGAAAAGTGACGCCCTGAGAAGGAGTGAAGCGAATGGAAAGAAATTCGTTAGATTATATTTATATGTAAGGAAATAAAACTGAGTAATATTTAAAAAATAATGTTCTATTCAGAAAATGTAGCGAACAAATCAATAAAGTGTCCGCCCACCGCTAACCCTTGTGCAAGCTGTTATCCGGTTAGCACTGACTCGCAGAGCCGATGAATAACCTCGTACAGAATTTCTTGCAATTTTTCTCTAACTCTCTAGCCGTGATGTCATTCGACAGTCACAGACGTCTGCTCATCAGACCCTAAACGTGTTCTGTTGGGAGAGATCTGGCAATGCAGAAAGGGTTTGACAAGCCCGAAGACAATTAGCAGAAATAGTTGCCTTTCACGACCGGCATTATTCTGATAACATGTAAACCAGGGTTCCTATAAAGGAAGGACAACACAATGGGGCGTAGAATATCGTCAACATACTGCCGTAATGTAGTGGTGTTGCAGATGACAACCAAAGGCGTCCCGTTATCAAAAGAAATGGCACTCCACAATATGAAGCATAGATTTTTTTTTGTGTTGTTTCTTAGTTGGCCACCCAGATTTTGGGTTGTATGATGGGCGACAGTCAGCGTATCATCGCTGTCCTTGGCGTCTCCAGAGATGTCTTTGTTAATCTTCCTAGTACATTTCGAAGCAGGAATCATCACAGAATCATTTCAGTCAGTAAAATTCTCAGTCAAACGAGAGCAGCACCATTGCAGACCGACTTGTTATTGTGCATAAGTAAGGGTTAATCAGCGCAAATTGGTGTCGTGATCGTAAACTCTATTGTCTGAATCGCCTGTAAATGATCTTTGTGCCCATTGATGTCCTGACATATTGGTTTGTTGATATAAATGGCGAATCTAGAACAGCGAGAACTGCTCTTTCTATCCTCACCTTTTGTCGCCCCTTCCCTAAATCGAGCGATGCCTTCTTGACGCTGCGCTTTGTCATAGTTCAACCCTTCTTGTCAACTTCTTTGAATGACTACATCGCTCCGATCCAAATGTCAAGCAGTTCTTCGATTTGACCACCCTGATTCCTTTATGCCGATTGCACATCCTACATCAGCTGGTGACATATGCTCATATAATGCACGAGCCCGTTTGCGAGGCAATGCTATATTTGAAGTTAATAGACAGAATCAAACTCGAACGGAAATTATGTTCTACAAGTTGGAATTTCTCCTCTTTTATACACCAACCGGATGCTCAGATGGTAGGTAACTTCAGCTACTCAAAAATTTAATCATTCTGAGTTTGGACTGAGCTGTATTCGAATACGAAATTTCGCTGCAGTCAGATAACACATTCTTAGTATATCTTTTATTCCACTTCCTTACCCTCTGGCTGATCATCCCGCGATTTCCACGGGAACTCAAATGTAGCATAATTTGCTTATCCCGCGATTTCCGCGGGCATATGTTTTTCTACCTTTATTGAGGACCGCACCCCGTTTTGCCCCCGTTAAACCGTTGAAATAAATTACGTATATGCAGTATTAGGCGTTTAGTTTACGTTTTGGCCAACAGATATCGTTAGTTGTCCACTAAATTGCGGCATTTAAAGGCACATGGTATAAGCGCTCAAACTTCACTTTTTGCCGCTTTTTCTTTTTTACAGAAATGGCTGCTAGAAAACGTTCAGCGATTATCTTGATTATTTAATTAAATTATTGAATTATCAGATTGATTATTAATCATATTTATTGAATCTGGTGCAAAAACTGTGAAGTTCAAAACAGGGTTTTCAACCCTGTTTTGAACTCTATCAGACTAAACTGCATTTCTAAGGTATTTTTCCCTCAGCGCTTTATATTTTCTTAAATGTTATACATTTTACTTTTTTATATTATGCAATAAATAGAAATTAATTGTAATTCGACTGAAATTTATTTAAAAAAGATTTTTTTTTTATGTTGATAACATCTGAAATTAATCTTGCAAATTAGTTTCTCATGATAAAAATCTATGTATAAAATATTTTCTAGAAAGTAAAAATGCATTTTTAAATTCTCCAATATATATAGATTCAAAATATGAAAAAAAAAATGCAATTTTTGAAACGGTTGTGGTCTACAAATTGAGCAGTCAGAGGGTTAAAGTTTATATTTTATTTTAGCAGTTTATATTTTAATTTACTGATCAAGTACTTCTTTTTGTTTGAAACGTCAATAAATTGTGTTTATTATTAAAGCGCATTGAGTATTTTTCATTTGCATGCTAATAGGCATTCAAATTCATTAAAATTTACAAAATATTGCTGATAATTTTACAAACAATTTTATCTGATGTTAAAGGCGCATATATATATATATATTGTTACGTTTTTCTTCCTTCACGTTCGTACGGGGTTCGTGTGGATTTGAAGTGAATAACGACGTCACTTGATGAAGTATCGAAACACACTTTATTTACCAATATTCTCAGGACAGCTCCAAAATCACGTTTTCAGTCGTCGAACTGTTATAAACACGCTGACACGTTCACAGACACACAGCCTTCATACTGTCAGGCAATAACGGTGGAGACAGCTTCACCGCAAAGCACGCGAGTACAGCTTCCGACTCTGTTCGATTCTCTTCGTTCTCGGAACTCCACGTACTCTCCTGACTCTCCACGTGATGCACTCGACGATACACAAGAGTGTAGCTCTCGACTCAGCACAGTCTAAGACAAAACTCGAAGATGCACTAATTTGCGATGCAACTAAAAGACTCTCTCGATGCACTCGACGACCACCTCGGCGCTAGACTTCGAGACACTCGCTCAATGACTGACTATCAGCTCGCTAGATGAGGCACACACTCTCAATGAGAGACACACTTTTCCTCTCGATGAAGCACACAGAGTGACTGCGGACCAGCACAGTTCATATAGCTTTCGGCTTGTGTTCGGGAACATTATGGACTAAACCGGTAAGAATTCGTTCCAGAACTTTCTCCAACCGTCCATGGCATATCGCCAATTTTGTCGCCAAATATCGCCAAATGGGCGATTTTTCGTCAAATGTGGCAACCCTGCCCTCCTTGCTATTTCATGGCAACGCTAAAACTGCTTTGCGGGGAAGCCATCTCACCGCGCCTGTACATTTCGTAACAATATGTATTCATGTGCGTGTGTGTGTAATATATAACAAAATGCGATGGCTGTTTTAACAATATTTGGCGACCTCAAAATTAACGCTTTTAGATTTTATGCTCTTCCCATAAATTCATCTGTTCTCCCAAATTCGAGATCTTTTCATGTTACGTAACGCTTAATGCAGATACCTCTTGTGCAATCAAAGTAATTATAAACCAAAAATTGTCTAACTCGAACTGAAACCTTTGGCTCTCTCCCTTTTTCCTTTGAATTCCGGCGTCCTCTTTCGCTACGCTTTCCTCATGGCAAGACTCTCTTAATATCCGCTACTGCTTACTTGCTTAAGATGACGTAGTACTTTAAAACCATGGGAATTATTGCATTCAACTATGATTGAAAAATATCTTATCTACAGAAAGATGATCTGATGTGAATTATCCTGCAATAAAAATTGATTCGAAAAGGCCATATCTGGAAGTTTTTGGTTTAATGATAGATCCTTTCAACTACGTAATAAAGTGTCTTCGAAGGCCAGAAATTAAAGTACCGGATTCCTTCATCTACGCAATAAAATATGACATAATATGCAAATATTGTTATTAATAAATAATTAATGGATATTCTAAAGAATACTAGTTTCACTCACATCGAAACGTCTAAATATATATATTATTTTAAATAAAGAATATTTTGAAATTTCATCATAAAATTTTCATTTGGGGATAAATTAGTAAAATTTAGTTATTGGAAGAGTGATATTAAGAAAAAAATTAATGTCCAAATTTTGTTCAAGTGAATATTGCAAAATTAAGCTAAATTTTACTACTTAGTTGTTAATTCAAATTTAATGCATTCGCGAAAGAAAACGAATTCTCACTTTGATTAAGATCTATCATAAACTATATATATTACATATTAAAAAAAATAAATGAACGAGAAAGTTAAGAAACGCACTTAAAATTTGGACTTAATTTAAAAGCCACAGCCAAATGAAGAAATATATACCCAAGAAAGAGCAAAGTAAACAAAACCTACTAAAAGTGTTAAATGATTCTAGAAACTACGCCAAAATCAATACGCACAATCTTAATGACAACGTCAAAACTAACTACTAGCAATTTAAATATAAAGTCGAAATAGCATAAATAACTTAATTAAACTCCTTTAAGATAGTTTCATTAAAAATCAATACTGAATGAGCCTTCGGTAACTGAAAACAAAAAAAAACTCCGCTTCCCAGTTGTAAATTCAACTAAAATCGATATGCTCTCTAAATTAATTACTTAAAATACCCGTCTCCATTTTTTATGCAAAGATAAGAATGGTTAGGAACATGAAAATACTTTTCGTCGCCTCTTCTTGATAAAGACATCATAAAAGAGTGCTCTGCTATAAAAATAGCAGATAAATATCCCAGAGCGCGTAAATTATTTACGACGATAGAGGAATAAGAGCCATTAGCGGATATGAGATGTAATTAAATTACACCGTGCCCTCTTCTTTTGGATGTGCTGATCCGGCGTTTTGTCGAGAAAGACGAGTACTTTCAGCATAAAGCTTATTTCCGATGTTACGTTCTTAAGCATTAATCTTCTTGTATATCAGTTTTAAACTCTAGCACAGGCGGGGGAAAGGAAGTAATTCGGGATCTTGGTAAAATGTATTTATGATAGAAGGAAATACATTTAAAATTGATTTTTTTTATATCATGTGAGTTCAAACAAGCAGTAGGAAATAGAATATAGAGGTAAATGTTTTGGTGAAAAATTAATTGGCCTTTGAACGGCGTTGGAGGTTACGAGAGCCTTTCTGCCATCCTGCCAAAAATCGGCGCATAAATTTTTCACTCTTTGAGGAGGTAGGAAACCGGAATTAACTTTTTCAGCAAAACTCTGGTTTTATTTACTATATCAGGTGTTGCAATGAAATTATTTACGACATTTACACATATTTTGTCCAAGACGCGTGAAAAAAATTACCACTCTTCTGGTGGTTAGTGTCAGTAACCACCGCCCACAGAACAACACATTCCTACCAATCAGTCTCTACGGTACTCATGGAAACAGTTTTTCTTTTTTCAAGCAAAGTGCAACTTTGCATGTGCTGTATACCAACATTGTTCTTACAGGATTTTTCTTGGTGCTGCAGAGTGAACATCGTCGTGATGTTTGTTGTCTTCGATGTCTGATGCTTATTTTGTTGAAGACGAATTACTGCATCAACTACTGGCTTATGTTTTTTGATTGCCATCTAGGGAGCTACAAAAGAACTTCAAAAACGGTCAGTCTTTAAAACCATTCACACGAATGAGTAAGACGTTCAATACAAAAGTTGGTTACTGTAGGTAACCACCGCCCTTCAAAGAGTCGATAACAATCTACTGCGCATCGGAAGCTTTACCGGTAGTATAAATCTATGTTTCTCAAATGTTTTTGGATTAGGGTTTCCTTGTTTGACTATTACGGTAAATAATAGCCCGTTTCGTATTTGGACAGGTATATATTATGGCTTTATAATACTCGTAGAAAGTTTGATGATGTGGATGACATAACATATACCGCAACTGGCGCATAAAGCTATATTTGCACTTGTATCTGGTTCAAAATTTATTTTGATAGACACTGTCATATTGGCGCAATCTGTGCACCTTCAGCAATAACATTTGTACTTTTCATAACTTTATAATATATTCCACCTAAGAAAGATAAGCGGCAAATTACATGCTATCAGGAAAGCAAACGAGAGCGGACTATGTAAATTATAAATATGAAGGTTAGAAAAGAATAATAAAGCTACGGGTTTACTTTATTCCTATTGGTTAATTAAGCTTTGGTTCACAAATTTTATATTATTGTTGGTTGAAAGATTTTTTTATGTTGTGTAAGTCTAAGCTTACACAACATAGCGTAATATAATTGCATGAGCGTAATATAATTGAAACGGCGAACTACTTAAGACATATTTAATGTAAACATGCTGTAAATTTTCAGATAGAACGAAGAAATAACCAAATTTAAGAGCTATTACAAATTAGATATAGGATCTTTGTATGAAACGCCAGCATTCTATAGAATGCTTAGCATTGTATACAATGCTGGACGTTTTTAGGCAAAGTAATGAAACATGAAAATTATTACACCCTTTTCCTAGACATTGTATATAATACCTAGGCATTCTATAGAATGACAAATGCTTTTTAGGCAATGCATGAAAGAAAGGTTATAATAAGGTTATTATTTAAAAGACGTTCATTCAAAATATATGAGTAATATGAGGAAAATTAAGAAAAGCAAAATAAATGATAAAACATTTTATTTTATTGAATATACCTGCGCTTTGAGACATCGATACCCGAAGAAAAACCTAAATATTCACGGATATGTCTTCAATTTTTTTCTGTGTAATAAAATCAAAACCTCTCTCTTGTCAGAGATTCCAACATGCAGTAGCCACATACACATACATCAATACTATGTGCGTTAAAAAATATCTGCCTTTGAAGGTATGATGTTGGCTGTTAAGTTTTATTTACGTATGACAAAATCCATTTTTGTATTGCCATATGAACTGCAAAGAGTAAAAAAATCTTTAGGTAAGTCAGACAAATAAAAAATTTAACATTTCGACTGCTGTAGACGACGTGAGCCAATAAAGATGCTCCATATCTTGCGTCTCGTAGGGAGAGGAATATAGCAGTCGAGAGCAAAGAAAGGAGGCGCTACAGCAGTTGCTAAGGTAATGGCTTGAATGTTTGACCTCCTCAACGATGGATCGAAAGTTAGATTCTTTACTCCGTTTGCTAGGTCAAAAATATGTTTTACTGAGCAATAACGGAGGAGAAATATTTCGCTTTTATGAATTGTTGGAGGAAAGTTTCTCCGCGAAGCTTTTAGAGAGTGAAATTGCCGCAGGTTATATTTTTACAGCTCTTTAATGTTATTCGATTTAGAGATATTCTGTATATTTTATTTAATTTCTAATTGCTGCTACTGATTTTTAAAAAGCAGGAAAGCTCAAGTTATTGTAATCTTATTTTAACTAGATTTGCAATGAATTCTAAATTTTCTAAAATTCGAAATCAAAAAGGTTCTCGAATTTTTCGGATCTTTCATATAAGAAAGTAAAGGAATCAAGAAAAAATCTCACTAAATGTTTTTTTAATTAAAGCAAAATTTGAAATTAGTACTTGATGATAAACAGATCTAAAATACATTCTGAAAAAAATAAATTTATATTTATAAGGAAGTTGCACATTAAATTTAGTCAAGTAAGCACATTATTGAAGTTCTTGAATTTTGAACGTACGTTATTTCATCATTAATTTACAAAAAGTACCCAAACAAGTTAATTTTTTTAACATTTTCTCAGTATTTTTGAAACCAAAGCAGGTACAAATGGAAGGATCGTTTCAGGAAATAAGGCAGCTAAATCGTAATAATCCAGATAAAATGCTAAAGTCTTTCCAGTATATTAAAGAAAAAGATATTTTAAATGTTCATAAAGTAATAAAGATTTTCAGAGTCTATGAAAGAAATCTTTAATGAAACTTTTTTTTTTATTTCAGAAAAATACCATAAAAATTCGCTCTGGGTCTAACCTCTTTCGTTTTTTTATTAATTACGATGCAATATGAGCTAAATAGTGTCTCAGATACTGTTGATGTGGTGTGATTAAGAATATTTTAGAGCTCTCCCTTAGATTTTGCGTTGTTTTTTAACGAACTTTTCAACTAAATATCAATGAACTTAATCATTCCGGTGATTTATGTTAAAACGTTTCAGTGTTTATGTTAAACGTTTACTTTTTCATTTTAGGATTCGAATACCGAAAAAATTGCGAAGATATGAGTTTTTAAATCTCGAATATTCTTTTCAAAATTCTCAGTTCAAGGATTCGAACGCTGTAAATTTAGTTTTAATATACTTTAAGTGAAGTAAACATTTCTGGCATATATTATTTAAAAGCTTCTAAGATGAGCATTATCTATAAACGAATTTAGTTATTTACAATTCTATGCTATTAGTAATATGTAGAAAAACCAAAAAGAAATTAAATTTCCAAACTCGGAGAATTTTTAAGCGTAATGTTGATTTTATATAAAATAAATTACGTATTTCAAGAGCTACTATTATGCAGTCTTTTTTCGTCAAAGACAAAAAAAGAAGCAAAATGAACTGAGATTTTCTATAAATGATTTTGCCCAATTTTATACTTTTATCTCGCATTCCTGGGAAGACAGATAAGTAATTTTTTATGAGCCTCCGTAATTCATACTATGCCTTTTAAATGATGCATCATCTGCATTAAGTCTGTAGTTTGTTTCCTTGATAGTCATTACTAAATATATGTCAGTGAATTTAGCTAATAGAGAAAGGAATTATTCTTTTATCCAAATATTTAAATTTATAATACTTTATCAACTCATGCTTTTGCCCTGCGAGAACCATATTAAAAATTAAATGTTATTTTTATAGAAGTCTCTCTCCCTAATGTTAGAACAATTTTCATAATTTTCTGTTATATTTTAAGATGTATTATAAGTTTAAATATATGCTTAGGATTAATATTAAAGAAACAAAGCCTGAATCCACCTTTTTCAGTAATGACTGACAGGAAGCTAGCGGTTCTGACAGGAGGTTTGTGTCAGTAATGACTGCTAGGTTCGCATGAAGTTTTTGAGGTCATTTTGTACGCTCTATTCTTATCAATCTCGGATTTGCGGAATCTAGGTATGCTTTCATACTTTTAAAATATCAGCAGCATCACTGGAAACGATGAACTTGAGGCAACTTAATATTGTCATTAATTTATATTGAATTTGTGGGAAAGGGCCACGCAACTGTAATTGTATGACATAACTTTTACATGCCATTCTAGACGAGCGTGCGGACGAGACGTTAACTGTGACGAATGCAGACGTATGATATTGATGTGATGACCATTCTTATTTTTTTATGTAAAATTCATTATTTATTAATAAATCGGTACTTATTAGTGATGTTTTTGAAAATTTGCTGTTCACACATTTTAAGATTTAGGTTTTATGGACATAAAAGTTTTGCCGAAAACAATAGTCAGAATAGCTTTCGCTTTTTTTCTTCCTTGCAAGTTTTTTTTTCGCTGTTTTACCAGTTAAAGTGTCTTCAAAAGCATTTTAATATAATAAAAGTACTGTTTAATTAAGCAGAGTTGATTATTGAGTGGCATATTCCTAAATATCAATCAAACATGAACATATTGTACCGTCCCAGGACTTATCTTTTGGTTTATTTGGTTTATTAGCACTTATCTTTTGGTTTACTTGATTATAAAAAAGCAAGCGAGGGCTATTTGACTGCGGGAGATGACTTCGTGAAGGACTTTCTAAGGGAAACAGGCTCTTATCCATGTGTAAAATTAGTAAAAAGACAAAAAGGCTATACATCCAGCTCGTAACACACATTTTAAACTAGCCATCTCATACAGAGAATATGACCATCACATTAGTATACCCCGCATTCCTTGGATTCTAAGCCTAGAATTTTAAACTAACCATCATATACGGAGAACATGGCCATCACATCAGCACACACATTTTAAACTAGCCATCATATATAGAGAATATGACCATCACACTAGTATATGCCGCATTTCTTGGATTCTAAGATGCACTCCTAAATATTAACATTATCAGAAGGGGGTAGGACTTCGAATCTAAGCAAATAAAACATATCAAATAATAAAACAAATCCAAGGCTTCAAATATACCTGGGAAATATTTTCTCTAATAATCGACTTCTATATTTTAGTAACAACAATATATCTATAGAAATTAATATTTAAAAAATTACTACTAAAAATTATTCGAAAAATTCTGAAATTCTAAGAGGTAACCCATTTTTAACGAAGTTTATGTAGAAACCGAGATGTGCCGTAGATACGAAGAATGTGTAAAGTTTATCTGAATTATTTTCCCTTCCACTTCATAAATAACGAACGTAACACAGCGGATTAAACTTCAGTGAAATTAAGCATAATTGGTGATTCTAAAATTAGCTCCACTCAGAACAGAGTCTTATGGTGTAATTCTTTACTTTATTTACTCTCCCATGTGCCTAAATCTTCTTTACGAAATTAAGTAGGCATTCATTGATCGCACAATTCATGCTAATAATCTAAAGATGGAGGAGAGTGGAAGAGGGTGGAAAAGGATTGCAATCCACTTTTATTCAACTTCAACACACTTCCGCGCAATTAGCCGGGAGCAACGC